CGGGCGAGACAGAGAATGTTGTCTCGCATGGCGAGACAGCTGTCTCGCCTGCGAGACAGTAACAACTGTCTCGCCTGGCGAGACAGAGAACACTGTCTCGCATGGAGAGACAGAGAATACTGTCTCGCGTGTGAGACAGTAAAGACTGTCTTGCGTGCGAGACAGCCCATACTTGTGTTCTTCTGCCTTTTTGAGCTGTATTCGGATATCTCTCAGCATTTTTTGACGCCTACACTAACCTTATAAAAGTATGGTATTTAAGTAGTGGGACGGCGGTTACAAAAGGGGCTGAGCATTTTTTGGAGCAGATCTAAGGACAGAGAGCAAAAAGGCTTGGACAAATTTCAAGGGTTTATCTCCTTTCAATAATTTGGAGGTTCCTTAAGATCTAAGCTTTGACTTGATCTTGAGAAGAGTGTTCATCTTACTTCGATAAGATATTCACTGAAACTATTCTTGCTACTAAACGAAGGAAGAATCCCCAAATCCTTCACGATTCAATCAGAATTCGTGATTCGGTGGTCCGCGGGCTAACGTACCCCCGACACAGGCAAAGATCCCGCGCAAGCAGCGATCCAAACAACGATCTTGCGTTTGTTTCTAAGGAGCTTGTAATTTGATTTTTCTTGTAAAGAGTAGTTTTACAAAGTACGAAACTCACTCTTTTGTATTCATTGTAATCAATAAACAGTTATAATGAATTCTACAACAGAACCTAATCCTGACGCAAACATAGACGTCCTCAATAAAATGATATCTGCTAGTGTTCTCTCAGGGGACCTTTCAGATCTTAATCTGAAAGGACAACTGAACTCTCTAAACTCTCTTCAGTTTGCTGATGATACTCTCATTTTTTGTAAAGCTTCTAAAAGGGATATTGACACTCTCAAAATCATTCTGCTTATCTTTGGCAATATATCTGGTCTTTCCATGAACCTCTCCAAATCCCAGCTTTATTACTTAGGTAGATATCCTAACAAGGGATCTACCTTAGCAGACAGGTTCAACTGCTCCCTAGGCTCAACCCTTTTCTCTTATTTGGGTCTCCCTCTCAAAAAATGGCTCCTTGTCCAAAAGAGATTGACGACCCCTACTTGAATCCTTCTCCAAAAAATTGGCCTTATGGAAACATAAATCTCTGTCAATAGGGGGCAGACTTACCCTTCTATACTCAGTTCTGTCTTCCCTCCCTCTGTACTTCATGTCTTTTTTTCAAACTTCCTCAGTGGCTTATCAAAGCCATAGATAAAATCAGAAGAAAATTTCTATAGGGTTTCCATCACCAATCCTCCAAACCCAAGAGTTTAATTAACTGGGGAAGAGTATGCAAGCCCAAGCAGGGGGGCCTAGGAGTCATCAATTTGCACATGTTTAACCAAGCTCTTTTATCCAAGTGGATCTGGAAAATTAGTGATAAAAGCTCTTTCATCAGCAATGTCATCTTCTCCATTTACTCCACTATCTCCTTCAACCCTCTAGCTTTCCCTCCTAGAGCCTCAGCATCTAAGTTTATAAAAGATTTACATTCCATTAACGTCCCTTTCTTCAGTATGTCTCATTGGGAAATAGGTGATGGCTCTAGTTGCAAATTCTGGCTAGACAAGTGGATTTGCGAAAATTCTCTTAGTAGTTTATTCCCCAAGGTGTTCCAATTAGCATTTTCCCCTCTCTGCTCAGTTCAGTCCCAAGGATCCTTCATCTAGGGGGTGTGGAGATGGCATCCAATTATCAGAAGAGGTTCAACGTCCGAGTCAAGAGAAGAAATCAACCAGTTGTACTCTCTCCTCAACTCAACTAGACCTCCTGTATTTCAAGACCCAGATAAAATTTTGTGGTCACTCCAATCCTCTAAATTGTTCTCAGTGAAGTCATGCTATAACTTTCTCAACCTTGGTGGAACTAAATTTCATCTATTCAACTTCATATGGAAATCTCCTATCCCTCATAAGGTAAAAATTTTCTTTTGGATCCTCAGTCAGCAGAAACTTCACACAATGGATGTCTTATCCAAAAATGGGTGGACTGGAGATACCATCTATCCCCTATGCAACATGTCCAATGAGTCTCACGATCATCTCTTCATTCATTGCCAAGTTACTAGAGAGGTTTGGTCATTGATCACTCCGTTCCACACCTCAGATAAGTGGCCTAACAATATTTTTGTCTCTAATGTACATTAGGTTACAGACTTTATAACAATATATAATCTCGTTCCTTGAAAGGCAATTAGGCTAGGTACAAACCTAGGTAGCTACAGTGAGTGTTGTGGCTCCTTTTTAACTTTTCTACACCTTTTGTGTTTTGAAATGGAGAAGCAAAGTAGGTTGGTACTAGCGGAAAGATAAATTTGGTTGTGGTGAAGGGTTACATTACCAGCTTGATTGACCTATAATATATGTTGTCTTCATAGTAAGACCTAATAAAATGGGTTGTTTTTTTCTAGAAACTACTTTTAAGACAGGAGAACGTATTCGGTGGAAGAGCCATGCTATTAAATGTGCATCCAAAAAAATGTTAACCGTTTGATCTAGGCACGAATCTTGAAATATAATGATCCAATGATTGCCACTATTTGGGTGCATAATTAATGTCATGGAGCTAACAGTTATTTTTCCTAGAAACTACTTTTAAGATAGGGGAAAGTATTCAGTGGAAAAAAACCCATGTCATTAAATGTGCGTCCAAAAATGTTAACCGTTAGATCTAGGCACGAATCTTAAAATCTAATGATCCAATGATTGCCACTATTTGGGTGCACATTTAATGCCATGGATCTGGGTGAACTTGATACTTTTCCTTAAGTTGGGGTCATTTTATAGAAACCACTGTTAATTGTCAGCGTATATATAAATCATCTTTAAAAAAGTTATTTATTGCAATCAACCACATTGTCCACTTTTTAGTTGAATTTTTTTGGCGATTGACCCCCACGTACCCTCTATTAAGGATCATCTCTCTAATATACTTGGTATTTGCCAACTAATCATTTGTAGCGAAACCAATAAAATTTGATTTAAAAGTGGGTCGAGGAGGTTGATCGCAGCAATGAACCGTTTAAAGGTAATATATTATTTAAACTAATCATCTATAGAATGATCCTATTTTATAATTTGTTTATAGGGGTAAAAGCCTAATAAAATAGCTGACTTAACCTTAAACCTAAATTCTTACTGCTATAGCTACTTCAACTCCAAGCCTTTAGGACCATCTACAACTTCAACTGATGTAATATAATAAGTCTTGATTCCTGATTGTTCAAAATGAAGCCTCTTAAGCATTATTCTATACCAATATAACTCATGCAATTAAAAAACTTAAATCCTAATTACAAAAATTTATCAATAGTAGGATACACATACATATTTTAAAGGTAAATTCATCCGACTGATATTACCACAAAATATATTGATTGTTCAAAATGAACTCAAATGTTTTTCTCTCCAATCTCTGATTATTGGTAAAAAAAAAAAATTTATGACCGCGATGTTCGCCTCAATTAGCCGAGGGCATAAGAGTAATTCCAGCGTCCCTTCAAATAGCCTGCTGTCGTTCCCGTTGTTCCCGCGAGATGAAAAAACAGAACGAGACCAAAAATAGGAGGAATCCGACGTGGCTAACGGAAAACCAGCTCCGTTTGACTGGTCTCTGGATCCCCGTTAGCCTCGGTGATTGATTCACTGG